CACAAAAACATCACAAAACACCCCAAAATCCCACAAAAACCTCACAAAATCCCCCAAAATCCCACAAAAACCTCACAAAAACGTCACAAAATCCCCCAAAATCCCCCAAAATCCCCCAAAATCCCCCAAAATCCCCCAAAATACCCCAAAATCCCACAAAAACCTCACAAAAACCTCACAAAATCCCCCAAAATCCCCCAAAATCCCACAAAAACCTCACAAAATACCCCAAAATCCCACAAAATAAAAAAAAACCCTCAAAAAATCCCCCCCAAATCCCACAAAAACCTCACAAAATACCCCAAAATCCCACAAAATAAAAAAAAACCCTCAAAAAATCCCCCCCAAATCCCACAAAAACCTCACAAAAAACCTCAAATTCTGCAAAATCCCACAGAAATCCCACAAAACCCCCCCAAAATTTCCTTAGAACCCCATAAAAAACCCACCAAAACTCATAAAAACCCCAAATCCTGCAAAACCTCACAAAAAAAGTGGAAAAAAAACCCCAAATTAGGCAAAATCCCGCAAAAAACCCCAAATCCCACAGAAATCCCACAAAAAATCCATAAAAAATCCCAAATCCTGCACAATCCCACAAAAAATCCATAAAAAATCCCAAATCTTTCACAATCCCACAAAAAAATCCATAAAAGCCCCCAAATTCCGTAAAATCCCACAAAAATTCCATAAAAACTCCATAAAAATCCCAAATTCTGCAAAATCCCACGGAAATCCCCCAAAACCTCCCTGAAATCCCAGAAAAATCCCAGAAAACATCTCCAAAATCCTCTTGGGATGGACCCAGGGACACCTGGGGACACCTGGGGACAGCTGGGGACACCTGGACACACCTGGGGACACCTGGACACACCTGGACACACCTGGGGACACACCTGGGGACACCTGGGGACACACCTGGGGACACACCTGGGACACACCTGGGGACACACCTGGGGTCACCTGGACACACCTGTCACTGTCACACCTGTCAGTGTCACACTGTCACACACCTGGGACACACCTGGACACACCTGTCAGTCTCACACTGTGACGCATCTGTGACACACCCGTGACACGCCTGGTGACACACCTGTGACACACCTGTCAGTGTCACACTGTGACACACCCGTGACACACCTGGTACCCCCCTGTGACACACCTGTTAAGTGCCACACTGTGACACACCTGTGACACACCTGTAACACACCTGTGACACACCTGTCAGTGTCACACTGTGACACACCTGTGACACACCTGTGACACACCTGTAACACACCTGTCAGTGTCACACTGTGACACACCCGTGACACACCTGTAACACACCTGTGACACACCTGTCAGACACCTGTGACACACCTGTCAGTGTCACACTGTGACACACCTGTATCTCACCTGTCACCTGCCCAGCGAGCACAGCCGTCACTGGTTCTTCAAGGGCCGCCTGTCCCTCGATGGTCGCGCTGTGCCGGGGTCGCTCTTCGGGCGCCTGATGGACACCCAGAGCTCCTCCCACCCCAACAACGTCATCAAGTTCTGTGACAACAGCAGGTGAGTGACACACCTGGGACACCTGGGACACCTGGGGACACCTGGGGACACACCTGGGGACACCTGGGACAGCTGGGGACACACCTGGGACAGCTGGGGACACCTGGGGACACCTGGGGACACACCTGGGGACACACCTGGGACACCTGGGACAGCTGGGGACACACCTGGGACAGCTGGGACAGCTGGGGACACCTGGGGACACACCTGGGACAGCTGGGGACACACCTGGGGACAGCTGGGGACACACCTGGGACACCTGGGGACAGCTGGGGACACACCTGGGCACACCTGAGGACACTTTTGGGGACATTTGGGGGATTTTGAGGCTCCCTGGGTTGGATTTTTGGGGTTTTTGGGGATCCTGGGGTGGATTTTGGGGTGGATTTTGGTGATTTTGGGGTGAATTTTGTGGATTTTGGTGTCCCTGTCCCCCCAGTGCCATCCGGGGGGTCCTGGTGTGGGGTTTTGGGGTGGATTTTTGGGATTTTGGTGATTTTGGTGTCCCTGTCCCCCCAGTGCCATCCGGGGGGTCCCGGTGGCCGCGCTGTGGCCGCAGGACCCGGCCGGGCCCAGCCCCTTCGAGAAGAGAACGAGCGTCCGGCACGTGACGTTCACAGCCGAGACGCACAACTTCCCAACCGGTCAGTGCGGGGTCAGTGTGGGGTCACGGGGTCAGTGTGGGGTCACGGGGTCAGTGCGGGGTCA